AGTGTTAGCCGCCCTGAGCCCGTTCGCGGGATGGGCGGGATATAAATATAATTAATAAATAATAATAAATAAATAAATTAAGAGTGCTAGGATGTTTATGAAGCTGCGTGAACATGAGGAAAAAACACACATTTACATCGGGTGATGCAAGTGGATTTTAAGGTCATGTGAAAGACCCCCCCTCTCTTTGTCCCTCCCCCACCCACTCTCTTACTTTCTCTCATTCTCTTTCTCCTTTTCTCCATGTCTGCTGTCACTCCTTCTGTTAAATACTGGGTTCTGGATGCATCACAGTGATTTCAGGAACACAACAAGGACAACCAGCAGGGTTTGAGCCCTGCTTATAAAGCATGCACACCCCACACCCACCCACTCCCAAGGACAGGCTATTTACATTACACTGCTTATGGTCAGGTATTGTTCTTGGGGAGCAAGCTCACCCAGTTCAAGGTCCACATTCAGGGATGGCTTAGGCTCAATACATAACACCTTCTCTCTGTTTCCCCATTCCACCAACCCATCATTCTTAATCTCAGTCTCTTTTTTTGTCTCCCCTGCCCCTCATCACTTACTTGGATCCCCCTACTGGCACCACTGCTGCTCCCTCCCATCATGCACCGCTGTTGGGTTCTCTGCCCACAGTGCCACTGCATTATCTCCTCACAGGCTGATGAGAAGAGATGGTGGGGAGATTAAACCCCCTCATCCAATTCTGGTAAATTTCAGATTTTTCTGAAAACCTGTAGGAATCCTCCACATTTGGAGAAGAATGTTTCTTCTGTCAATGTAGCGCCAATCCAAGGATTTCAGTATCTGCAGATGGAGCCACAGTTGACTATTAGAATATACAAATGGGTCCCCACAAGAAACTTGCTGGAGTGGCCATCTCATTCCCCCTCCTTTTGTTTCTTTCTCTCCCCCCACTACTGTTAGTATTTCTCTATTTTTCTCCCTTCCTGACCCCTTCTCTTACTTTCTCCCCCCCTCTCTCTCCTTCTGTGTCTCTCACCCAATCACATACTCTTTTGGCTTCAACAACAGTGGCAGCAACTTCCCTGCCCATGTGGCCTCCCACCAGGCAACTTTGCTGCCTCAACAGTGGTGGCGACTCCCCCACCTGGCTGCTTTGGCAACTCAATAGCGGCAGCAGCAACTCCCCTGCCTGCTTGGCCCCTTTGCTGCCTGCCTGATGTATTGGAGCTTTCTCTGCACTTATACAGACTAGTGTTGTTTTGGGGAAGATTTAACCCACCCTCCATTTTGTAAAGTTTTAAGATTTGTTGCAAACCTGATGGGTCCCCCCAAATTTGCAGAAAAATCTATTTACTGTCTCTGTGCCCCTGATCCTCAGATTTAAGTATCCTCACATGGGGCCATAGTTGCCTGTAAGAATATGTGATGATGATGACATAACAGCATGGGCTGCTAATAATGGATAGATTATAAATGGTTTGTTTAGGGGTACTGATTCCAGGCTACTTGCCCCTGTTCATCCTCATTCTCTGTCTCTCTGCTTCAAATGTAGAATATGGAGGCTATTAGAAGGGTTCAGACTACAAAAATTTTCAGGCTCTTGTCTACCACAGTTAGATTTTCAGAAATCGAGCTGCTGTTCCAAAGGCAATGATTATTTGTTAGTTTTTGCAGCAACAGTAAGAATTTCAACTTTAAAAAACTTTACAAGCCATGCAGTACAAATTAAAAGGTCATAACAACATACAATGATCTACACCTTTGTTAAGATATATTTATGAAACACTGTAGAGCAAGTCATGAACCAAATACTTGCTTTTGTTCAGGTAAGACAGCATGATTTTGTATATATCTGTGAGGACCTTGAAGGAATGAGTTAATTGGTAGTAGCCAGCATGGGTTTATCAAGAATAAGTCATGCCAGACCAACCTTATCTTCTTTTTTGACAGAGTTACTAAAATGGTTGACTCTGGCAATGCTGTGGACATAGTATATCTAGATTTCAGTAAAGCATTTGACAAAGTTTCTCATTATATCCTTGAGGATAAGCTGGTTAAATGTGGGCTGGATGGTGCAACCGTTGGATGGATTCATGGTTGGTTGAAAAATCATACCCAATGAGTGCTCGTAAATGGCTCTGCATCTATGTGGAGGGAAGTCTTGAGTGGAGTGCCACAGGGCTTGATCCTGGGCCCAGTGTTGTTCAGTGTTTTTATAAATAACTTGGAGGAAGACATAGAGGGGATGCTTATCAAATTTGCAGATGACATGAGCTTCTGGTTCATGGCAGCTTGCTCTTGGACACGTCCCATCGACCCTCCGATGGCAATGCGCCAAGCCGAGGCAATCAGGAGGGGTCTTGGCTGGTTCCAGACCACCACAGAGTCTCTGTAGGAGACTATCAGCCTGGGGAGCTGGGATAAGCCTCTCCCAAGGCGACAGCTAAGGGATCAAGGCTTGCCTGTCCCCGAGAGGTCCTGACACTGCAGAGTCAGTATGGCGATGAGAGCCAACCTCCGGATGAGCAGACAAGAAAATAAGTGAAAATAACCCCGGCAATAATGGAACTCGTTTAAACAGTGAGTTAATCAAACCTCTTTATAAGCAAAGAAGTCTTGGCTTGCTAGATTTACCGGAGAAAGAGCGGTGTGTGGGGAAGGGTTGGAGATCCCCCCCAAAAAAACAGAGCGGTCTCTAAGTGGCACAAAAAGGAAAGAAAGAATGAAACTTACTGCTCGAGACTTCATTTAAGCTTGAAAGCTATATTTTAAGCCCAAGAATGTGGAATTCAGAGAAACTTTAATTTAAAACTAAAACTTTTCTTCACTGTAAACAAATGGCTGGGAGGGCGAGGAGAATGGCGGCAGAAAAGAAACTTCCACCAGGAAGTACTACACCAATGACTCCCAGTCAGCCACAGGAAATGACTGCAGACTTTCCCAATATGCTTGCTGCAGCACTGTGCCCTCTGCTGGACCAGATGTCTACAATTAATACCAAGCTGGATTCCATCCAAAAGCAACTTACCCAAATGGAAAAAAGAGCCAATAAGACAGATAAAAGGATCGAGAAAGTTGAAACAAGGACTATTGATATTAAGCAACAACTAAAAGATGTTAAGAAGGAAAGAAATATGGATAAAAATCAACTACTTCAACTTCAGCTTGATAAATCTATGCATGTTCTGCGCTTCCAAGGAGTTCCTGAACAGAAGGGAGAAAACATAAAAACAACGATAAGTGGAGTGATAGTTTCCATTTCAGACCTTAAACAGGAGGATCTACAAAGTGACATGGACTTGGCATACTATACTTACCCTGATTTTATAAGAAAAAATAAACTGCCTGGTGAAATTTACATTAAATTCTCAAGGAGAACAATGAGAGACAATGTTTTAAAAGTTACTGTGGGGAAAACACTTAAAATCAACAAAGAAGAAATTAAAATTCTGAAAGACATTCCATTTGAGATCCAGAAACGAAGATGACAGTATAAAGACTCAATTCTTTTGCTACAAGACAAAGCAATAACCTACAGATGGAGCTTCCCAGAAGGAATTATGTTCAAATTCAATGACAAGAAAGTTAAAATTATCTCTGTCCAAAAGGCCAAGAACTTTTTGAAAAAACAATTGGGCAGAGATAAAGACGAGGACCCTAATCTGGAAGAAGTAGAGAAACCCAGTGGGGAAGAATCGGATAATTCTTCAAGTGATTCCAGCAGTTCAATGTCAGAGTCTGAGAAAGTAGAAGCAGCGCCCAAAACTCCAAAAGTGAAGAAAAAGCCAAAGAGATAAACGTTTTCCCCCCTCTGGATTACAATATTACTTGACTTAAGCGTAATTAAGCTTTAATCAATAGAAGTTTGATCTCTCTGCTTATATAATTCTATGTTTATCATAATATCAATATTATTGCAGGAGTGATGTATGCATATGTTGGCTTACAAATATTCTTGTCATAAGTTAGTGATAGGTTTTCCCTTGTAACCTTACCTTTAGAATGTAGGATATAGTTTATAAAATCAATAAAATATTATATTAAAAAATTGCAGATGACACGAAGCTGGGTGGAATTGCTAATTCTGAAGAAGACAGAGTCAGGATTCAAAATGATCTAGATAGGCTGGAACAGTAGGGTGAGACAAATAAAATGAATTTCAATAGAAATAAGTGCAAAGTCCTACACTTAGGTACAAAAATCAAAGGCACAGATATAGAATGAGAGGGACTTGACAGCAGCACATGTGAAAGGGATCTAGGTGTTCTGGTTGATCACAAGCTAAACATGAGCCTGCAGTGTGATGTGACTGCGAAGAAAGCTAATGCAATCTTAGGATGCATTAACTGAAGCATTGTGTCCAGATCATGGGAGGTGGTAGTTCCGCTCCATTCTGCTATGGTCAGGCCTCTCCTGGAGTACTGTGTCCAGTTTTGGGCACCACATTTTAGGAAGGATGTTGACAAGCTCAAGTGTGTCCAGAAGAGAGCAACCAGGATGGTGAGAGTGTTGGAATCCAAATCTTATGAGGAAAGGCTGAAAGAGTTGGGAATGTTTAGCCTGGGAAAGAGAAGGCTTAGAGGGGACATGATTGCAGTCTTCAAGTATCTGAAGGGCTGTCATGTAGAAGATGGAGCAAATCTATTGTCTCTTGCTCCGGATTGCAAGAGTAGATCTAACGGGTGAAAATTACAAGGGAGTAGTTACCGGCTAAATATCAGGAGAAACTTCCTAACTGTAACAGTGGTTGAGCAGTGGAATGGACTGCCTCAGGAGGTGGTGGATGCTCCTTCGCTGGACGTTTTCAAGCGGAGGCTGGATGACCATCTTTCGGGTATGTTGTAGGGCTATTTTTCGGCTATGGTCGTGCAGAGTGCAGGGGGTTGGACTAGATGACCTGCAAGATCCCTTCCAACTCTAACATTCTATAATTCTATATATTGAATGTCAAACCATTTTCCATGCACCTCTGAATGAAGTGCCTCTGAGGAAGGGAGCCCTGAATAAATTTTGCCAGAATAAATTTTGTTAGTCTCTAAAGTTACATTAGGAGCTGCGGTGGCTCAAGTGGTTAAGACGCTGAACTGCAGGCTGTGGAAGGTCAGTAGTTCAGCAGTTCGAGACCTGGGTGCCGCATGACGGAGTGAGCTCCCGTCTCTAGTTCCAGCTCCTGCCAACCTAGCAGTTCGAAAGCAAGAAATTGCAAGTAGATAAATAGGTACCATTTCGGTGGGAAGGTAACAGCGTTCCGTGCACCTTGGTGTTTAGTCATGCCGGCCACATGACCCCGGAAACGTCTTCGGACAGCGCTGGCTCTTCGGCTTTGAAACGGAGATGAGCACCGCAACCCTAGAGTCGGATTCGACTGGCTTTCGAGCAAGGGAACCTTGACCTTGACCTTGAAAGTTACATTGAACTCCTGTTTATTGTAATGGACTTAAATGTGAACTTCCTCTGGATTGTGAGATATATGGCTAATATAACGCTTCAGTGGGAGGGTGGGGTAGAAATTTAATAAATAAATAAAATTTTAAAAAATAAAATAAATGAAGTAAATAAGTTGTGTGCTTTCATGAGCTTAAGTAAATAATGGACTCATCTATTTGATTTATGTCTCTTTAGAAAGCAACTCCATGACATATATATCTTTGTGGATGATATGTACTATTCAGAATCAAATGGTACTATCTGGAGAGCCAATAAATACACAGGAAAAGATATAGTTGCAATTAGCCTGCAACCATCATTCCCCTCACCTACTGAGATACTGGTAGTGCATCCATTAAAACAGTCCAACTTTAGAACAGACCATAAAGCATTTGGTAAGTTTGCTGGTAATGGCACTGTTAAATGTGTCAAACTAACTTGAGAAGCTCTATTGATATGCACTTATTAATGTAGCCATCCCCATCATATTGCAAATTCTCTGGACCCCTTTATTCATTCTAGCCATATTCTTTTTGATTTAAATGCTACTGCTATTTGTGCAGCTATATACGTGGATACTTGAGATTAATTCTTGATTACTGGTCCAAAATAAATCTTTCAAATGCCTTCATAATGTTCCAAATGGATTTTCTGGTTTATCATATTAATATTCTTTTTATTCCTGCAGTAACAAAATATCTTAGCTATATAGAGTATGTATAAAATCTGTTTTATTAATCTCACATTTCTAATATCTACTTTCCTAATTTGTAGAGATTTTTATCTGTCGTTAAATATCATTGATAGCTGTGACAGACCTTTTCTACCAACTGGGGGGACCCATGCAGCCTCATATGATTTGGGGGAACCAGGTTTATTTCAAAGTGTAAACCTTCCCTTTAGTTGCTAGATGTTCTTAAATTAGCAAGTGTAAGGCTTTGGGTTCACTGCTGTGAGATACGTTTTGTGGTGAACAAGTAAACAAGGAGATCACCGGGGGGGGGGGAGTTATATATAAATGACAAGGAGGATTTATTTATTTATAGGTGTGGTCCCCCCCCCAAAAAAAACCCCCCACAGATCAGCGGCACAAGTCTCCAGGTAGGCCAAGGAGAAACCTGGCTGAAGACACATACATTTAAGATAGTGAGGGCTTGAGAGTGTAGTCTGAATTCTCTTTAATGCTTTCAGGTACAAACAGCCACTAGATTGGATCTTTTTACACACACAGTACTGACCTGCCCTTTCCCAAGAGTCAGACTAAATGGTACAAGGTCTGCTCATTAACAGGAACAAGCCTAACAATGGGGTGCTCTATTCTCTTGCAGGGTAGAACTTTTTTTTTTTTAGTTTTTTTTATAAATATTTATTTTTTTTAATTGTTTTACACAAATTTTACATATTATCTTTTAACTATGCGTTTACATAGTAGTTTTTCCCCTCCCCCCTCCCCCCTATGCTATCCCAGTGCTTTAGTCCTATATTCCCAGCCACGGGCACAAAGTCCGAATCTTGCTCTGAATGTCTTTTCTTCCTTCTGTCAGTATCCATTCTAGGTAGGTCTTCCACTTCATCGTGATCTCCGTAGTCTTGTCTTTCCATGTGGCCTTACGTTCCAGCTTTTCGATTATGTCGGACTGTATGAGATCAAACAAATAATTATGCCAGATTTCTACTGCAGGGTAGAACTAAACCCATCTGCCACAATGCTAAGCAGAACTACCCTTCCCTCTGTCTGCTTTTTTGCTGAATAGAACAATTACCATGTCAGAACCAGCAATGAATCTAATTAAACATTTACCAAATGTTATATGTATGTATATTTAATGAATAAAGTGTTGAAACATCTTAGTGTTTAAATCACAGTAATAACAATATAAATGTCTATGTATCATCCTAATGATAATCAATCATAGAAGTAAGTCCATCTTGAAAAAATACAAACATAAAGTCCCCTATTTAATCACATTAGTATCCAGAGGAGGACATGAAACAGTGTTAAATAGTCCATAGTATTCCAAACTTGTTCAAAGAGTCTTCCTTAAATTATTCAAGTCAGTGCGGGGGGGGGACACGTCTGTTGATCTTCAAACTTTCAAAGCATCAGCAAAACCAAATCACAAATCTTTATGGACATTTGATAGCATCTGTTTTGAGTCATCTCTTTTTAAAAAACTGATAATCCTTCCCTTCGAGTGCTCATTCTCCACTAATTACAAGATGCATTCATAACGGAACACATTTACCTCCTAATTCACAATGTCTTATTAGAGCGTTTCAAGCTGGGTATAGTGTTCAACTGGCTGGTAGCAGATTAGAGCCCCCCAAATTGGGGGATCCTCCACCCCGACTGGCAGTCTGGCAACCCTATTTACAACTCATAGGATCCTTTTGAGGAGGGTGAGTTGGGCTGGGAGTAGGGATGTGCATTCAGTTCAGATGAACCGAATGCACCACCGAAAAGGACCCATTTGCCCCCCCGCTCCCTCCCGGGCCTGTCTTGGCTTGCCCGCCTGGGCGAGCGGGCCAGGAAACCCCGGGGGGCCCTCTGAGAGCCTTCTCTGAGTCGCCCGCTAAAGCGGGTGGCCCAGAAAAGCAACGAGCCAGGAAAGGGGGGTGGCGGCGGCTCTGGAAGCCTTACCCTGCTCGCCCGCTTCAGTGGGTGGGCCAGGGAGGGCAGCTGGCTCCCTTCCTTGAAGGGAAGACAAATTGCCTTCGCTTCAATGAAGGGAGTGTGCTGCCTCTGCGGCACAACTGGGGGGGATTTAATCTTTAAATCTCTAGTCACGCCGCAGAGGCGGCACACTCCCTTCATTGCAGGGAGCCCAGGCAAGCCCCCCCTTGACTTGCCCAGGTGCCCCTGGCCAAATCTGATTTGGCTGGCCGAAGGAGCCCCGAATCAGCTTTAATTGCCGAATGTGGCATTCAGGGGTCATTCGGCCAGCCAAATCAGATTGGGCCCGATTTGGTCGAACCGAATGGGGCCAATTTTTTTTTTTGCACACCCCTAGCTGGGAGCATATGAATTGCTTACTATAAACACACACACACAGAGTTTCTTGGGGGGGGGGGTGGGCACAGAGCTTTTCTCTCTTAAAGCAGGATTGAACGAGACATATCTCAGGACTCCCTCTTCTCTTTACTCTGCCTTTCTCTCCATATTTGCTATGGTCTCTCACATCTGCATGCATGACTAACATTTAAAAAACAGATTCAGGTGGGGTAGCCATGTTGGTCTGAAGCAGCAGAACAAAGTTTGAGGCCAGTGGCACCTTTAAGACCAACCGAGTTTCTTCATACGTCAGAAGTGTGCTTGCACATGAAAGTTTATACCATGAATAAAACTTTGTTGGTCTTAAAGGTATCATTTAAAAAACACTGGGCTGATTCCATCAGTTGACTTACACTTTAAAGTCATTGCATAAGTTCACCTTACCTGGCACTGGCAGAACACATTCAGTGTGGGTGTGCATCTACCAGGGGGTAACAACCTTTTTCTGGTTATCTTTTTATGGATGCTGCCTTTGGACTCCAGGAACTTCTGTTTTGAAGTAGGATAGTCTGAAGCATAGAAACCCAGAATGCTTCTAATACACATTTGTTTTTTCCTAACATGGCTCCTTATTAAACATTGAGGGGGCGGAAAGAAGCTTAAACTGCCCAGTCCAGATGAAGCCTTTGGAGTTTGCATGTGTATTGCTTAGCTTATCCAGCCCAAGAATCTGGATTGAGGGAAGGCTAATTAGCCTTAGGTGCAAATGAGATTTATGAAAGGATTGTACAACAAGGGAGACCTGGAAATGAAACCATGCAAGCGCTAACAATGCCCTGGAGATGGAAGTTAAAAGTCCACAGTGTGGCACTGTGGCAAAGAAAGTGCTTTTCATGTACACTACAGAACCTATTTAATTGTTAAATGTTTGCAAAGGTCAGGTTTTGGATATGAATTACAAGCTCTGTTCTGCCACTAGATTAGTGCTCAGATTGCAAGTGTGACAGGTCAAGTCAGGATGCCTCCCACTGCATGACCTGACCTACCCTCTGCACACGGTCTTATGTTTACTAAGGCCGCTTGATGGTCTACAGAACATTAAAGTGGTCTCAGAGCCCTTACAGTGTATTCCTGCAACATACAACAGCCCAGCTTTGTAAACTAACAATTGTATTTGATGGGTACTCTCTAAAAGTGGTTTTCAACCTTTTACTGTACAACCTTGATATCTAACCAGCTCCCACCTTCTGTTGCCACAGATAGCAGTCCTCACTAAGGATGGCAAATAACCTTGATCCAGTCCTAGCAGTCTGTTCTCTTGGTACTGCCCTTGGCTACAGTTAAAGCCATAGGAAACAGCACAATTCATACGGGTTTGATAAAGGGGAGATGCAAGTTTTGATGAAGGATTTTTATAAGTGAGAAGGACACCAGCTGTTGCTGCAACCCAGCCATGGAGCATGCTGGCTGTGGGGCCCACCGTGGCCAGGCTAGAGCACCTGCCAGCACGCTCCTCTGCTGCTTCCAGGCCTGGAGCATTAACTGGCATCCTCCAGAGGTAGTTGGCACTGGGGTGGGATTCCCCCTCGCGAATATCATGGGTTCCCACTTGTCCTGATATAATCTTCTTTTCCAGAAGTAAGACCTTGTACTGCAAACAGAAGAAGCTGCAAGCACAGCTCCCGGACCAATCGGTGCAAATGTAGCAGAGGATTTACCTTAAGTAAAAAAAGGCAACTTTGTGAAGGTAATGGGGAACTGATTGGAAGCAGAAGTGAAATAACGGGAGCCAGCACCACTGGTTGGGATAATAAAAGAGTGCCTGTATTAATTTTACATCAGATCAATATCTGTAATGGCCAAGGGCAGAGAACACATACCATACCTGTTTTGCAGCGTGAACACTGCAAAGGATGCAGAAGAGCAAAGCCTTCTCTGCCTGCATATCCCTGATTTCAGAGTGAGGCCAACCTGAATCCAAGTCCTAGGCTGTGCAGCCCTGGGTCCTCCTTCCCAAACATTGGTAGTACTTGAGGGAGGTGTGCTGTACACTTTCCTCCAAGCTGCAAGATCTCTGGGTGGAAGGAAAATGGCACCTCTCAAGGACTTCCTGTCCCATTCCCATGAAGGCTCTATAGTTCCAGGTTTCTGGTGTGATATTTGCCACTTTACCCTATTTGCTGATGCAACAGGATGCTCACCTAAACTTTATACATACCAATCAACCAGCCTTACCTGCCCTGCTCTTGCCATAGGGGTGGATCAGTTCACTACGTGGTCAACAGCTGGACAACAAAAAGGGGGCCTTCTTTGTACTGCCATCAGAACAGGCACAGGCCTCTCCATCTGTAAGGTCACCTAAATCCCCTTCCAGGGGTGGCTGAGACAAGACAAATTTAAGCACTTTTAAGCCTCATTGCTTTCAACAGTGGGCAAAAGTGAAAATCCAAAAATGGTTTCTTTAAGCATTTGAGGAAGGAGACTCTAGTCCAGGGGTTCCCAACCTTTCTGAGCCTGTGGACACCTCTGGAATTCTGACACAGTGAGTGCAACAACAAACGCTGCTGCAGGGAGGTGAAGTCAACCATAAAATGTCTGGGAGTTACCTTGAATAAACCTTTGTTGGTCTTAAAGGTGCCACTGGACTCTAAATTTGTTCTACTGCTTCAGACCAACACAGCGGACTACCTGGAGTTACTAACAGTAACTCCTCAACATTTCCAGCAGAAGGTCTGTTTAACAGAGCCTTTTAATTTGCACAGCCAGTCAGATCTCCAGTGGCCAATCAGGAGCCCTGCTGGGCAAAATTCTTACCTAGCACTTTCTAAAAACACTTGGTGAGTGCCAGGAAGGGGCTCAATGGGCGCAATGGCACCTACAGGCACCACATTTGGTGTTGGAAATATGTGTGTTGCAGGGTCTAAAATCCAGTCATTATAGGGTTAATGGGTGCTTACCTTGTGCGCTATTGTTTAGACTGACCTGGAAGGAAATCTGGCACAGAGCCAATGGAAATGAAGCTGGCAAATCTGAAGCCTACTACTAACAATCATTAGTTAATGCATTCACGTGATTTCCTTCTAGAGGTCAAGAAGTGTAAAGATGTAGCCTTAGGTGTTTTTGTTGTTTTGTAGATTTCCTGTGAACCCTTCCCTTAGAAATAAAGATTTTTACACAGAGGAAAATGCCTCCTCTCCAGTAGGGTTCCCAAGTACTTACTACGATCCGGTGGGGAAAACATGCTCCCCGGCTGGACCATTCCTCCCTGTAACACAGCATATCATCGCCAGGAAGGGACGCTGGGCGATGCTCTGGCAATGGGGCTGAAAACTCGATGGTACCATCGAGTTTCGATCCCCATTGCCAGAGCGTCACCCAGCGTCACTTCCTGGCGATGTCATGGTGCAGCGCGTCTGTTGTCTCCGCAGGAATGATCCTGTGAAGACGTCTGTGTCCCCCGCTGAATCACAGTAAGTACTTGGGAAGCCTGCTCTCCAGTGAAGCAAAGATCCATTGCAATCTCTGAATATTTAACTATTTTTCCAACATTTCCAACATTTGGGACCCCTGCTTTTGTTTATGAAAGCTTATGCTGGAATGAAAATCACCTAGTCTTTAAAGTGTTACACAACTCCTGGTTGCTTGCAATGATAAGAAATAAACATGAGTTTAGTTCTCTCTCACTAGGTTATTACATTGCATAAATTATCTTCAATAGCCATTATCAGAGATGTCACCTTACTCAAGACATCTAAACATAATATAATTAAATGATTGCTGTCCCTAATAATTTAGCATGCATGTCATAATTGTTTCTTTTATCAGATGTCAACGAATGTGCATTGTGGAACCATGGATGTACTTTGGGCTGTGTCAACACCCCAGGCTCTTATTATTGTACATGTCCAAGAAATTTTGTTCTACTGCCTGACAAGAAAACTTGCCATGGTAGGTAGTGGGCAAAAACACTTGTATGCTTGTTTTGTTGTTCAGTCCAACTCTTCACGAACCATGGACCACATCACGCCAGGCCCTCCTGTCTTCCGTCGTGCTCCGGAGTTTGCTTAATTTCACTGTCTAACCATCTCAGCCTTTGCTGTCCACTTCTTCTTTGACCTTCAATCTTTTCCAACATCGGGGTCTTCTCCAGTGAGTGCTCCCTTCTCATTTGGTGGCCAAAGTATTTGAGCTTCATCTTCAGTATCTGGCCTTCCAGGGAACAATCAGGGTTGATTTCTTTTAGGATTGAATGCTTGTTCCAACTGTTCAATTTCCCATACACATCTGAGTGAGATTTCCTGCAATATCTCGCTTTTCCAACTCCCTTTTTAAGTATGTAAGTTCAATTACTGATGTTATCTACATTTTGCACCATTAGAGTTACATCATTAGGACTTGACATAGCTGATTTCTGGTGTACCTGGAAAGAACGGGTTTCTCCTCAACTTGGTTCAGTTTGGAAGCTTGTACATCTTGGTTATGTATGTTTTTATTTATCTGGGCAGATTTTTGATCCACAAGAGAGGCTCACAACCCCCCCCAATTTAAATAAATAACCAGGAAAATTACAATTACCAACAATAAAGGCTATCCTGAACCCTTCCCCCCTACACCATCGTGAAATAAAGACAGTAGTAGATTACAATAGACTTCATGCTGGACTGTTGTTGTTGTTAGCCATTCAGTCGTGTCCAACTCTTGGCGATTCTATGGGCCAGCTCTCTCCATGTCTTCCAATCTTGTACTGTTTCTTTGAGTTGTTCCATGCTCGGACTGGTGTTGACTTTTATGGTGTCTAGGCACCATGTTCTTTGGTGGCTGGTTTCCTTTTGCCGCTAACCAATCCAAGCATAATTGCTTTTTCTAGTGAGTTCTTCCACATGACATGGCCAAAATAAGTCAGTCACAGTTTTTAGATTTTTCCTTCCAATGACATGTCTGGTTTTATGCACTCCAATATTTGCTTGTTTGTCACCTTTGCTGTCCAAGGAATGCGCAGGAGCCTTCTCCAGCACCACAGCACAAACGAGTCAATTTTCCTCCTGTCTTGCTTCTTCATGGTCCATCTTTCACAGCCATAGGTTGTTATGGGGAGCACAATAGCACAGACTAATCTGCATTTGGTTGCCAGGCTGATGTCCTTGCTATTCCATATTCGATTCATGCTCATTGCTGTGCGACCCAGCGTGATTTGATGTTTTATTTCTGGACTGCATTCACCAATTTGGTTGCTCTGTGATCCTAAGAAAGTGAATTCTTCCACACAGTCTATCTCTTCATTGTCAACTGTTTTGATGTTTCACTTCTTCTTGGTGGTCATGAACTTAGTCTTTTTGATGTCTAGAAAGAGGCCAAACTTCTCACTTTCCTCTTTGATTTTCTTGATCAGGTATTCCAAGCCTTCTTTAGTTTCCAAGGGGAGGGTTGTGTCATCAGTATATCAAACATTGTTAATATTCCTTCCCCCAATCTTTACCCTGATTTTTTACTCTTCCAGGTCTAACTTACTCATGATTGTGTCGGCATGCATGGTGAACAGGAAAGGTGAAAGAATACAACTTTGTTGTACTCCTTTCTCTATCTTGAACCAATCAGTATCTCCATATGGTGTTTGCACAGTGACTTCCTGGGTTGTGTACAATGATTGCATCAACTTGACCAGATGTGCTGGCACCCCCAGGTATTGCAGGGCTCTCCACAGTTTGCCATGATCAACACAGTCAAAGACTTTCTTATACTCAATGAAGCATAAGTAGATAATCTTTTGATACTCATGAGATTTCTCCATGATCCAACACGGATTTGCTATATGGTCACAAGTGCCACGTCCCCTTTGGAAGCCGGCTTGGACATCTGGTAATTCCCTTTCAATGGTTGGTGCCAGGTGTTGTTGTATAATTTTAAGCAGAATTTTGCTAATGTGAGGGATGAGAGCGATTGTGTGATAACTGAAGCAGTATTCGGAGTAGTGGAATGAATACTGACTGTTTCTAGTCCCTTGGCCATGTGTTGGTTTACCAATTTTCTGACACAGGGCTCTGATGACTGCAGGTAGTACAGGCCTCAGCAATTCTGTGGAGATGATGTCAACACTTGGATCCTTGTTGTTTGGTAGTTGGCTCATTGCTCACATGATCTCTTCCTCAAGGGTGGCTGGTGCTTTCTCAACTTCCCTTTCCATGGTATCCTGAGGTTGGGCTTCTTTGCTACTAGTGTACAGCTCTTCTGTGTATTCTCGCCATCTGTTTTTGACATCTTGTTGGTTGGACAGTTCTTTACAGTTCCAAAAAAGAGTAAGAATAGACCCACTGTGAGCTCAGCACTCAAGTTATGTACAGCTGTCTCCTCAACACACACAGAATGTAGTTGTCCACTTTGAGAGTTTAATAATCCTGTAATTAAGATGCAAATCTCTGTCATCACAAGTCGTAAGGATATCAGCATGAGCTGATTTTAGACATTTTTATAGGACCCTGAAGTGATTTGACCTGTTGCCTTGGATTAGCAATATTTACTGATTTTGTTATGCATTGAGGAAGACAATACAATCCATGGATTCCGGGAAGCATCTGTAGTCAATTCTAATTAGTTCTACACTTATTCCATCAGAGCAGATGTTTCCGTATGGTGCTTTGGGTATGGAAGAAAACAGGTGGCAGCATAGAATACAAAGTAGAAGGAGGCTGTCTAAAGCTAACCTTCTTCCTGACTTCCGAAAAGGAATACAAATAGACAGTTATTGTAATATTGAACCAGGAGATAAGAAATACAAAACAGGTACAGTGAAATCCATTAACAGAGAACTTCTGCCAATATAGCACCATGAACACATTCTAAAGCTACCGGGGCGGAGGGTGCCAGGCCCGCGGTGGGGTCCGTGGCAGGACAGCAGGCATCATGGCCTGAAAAAGAATTCTATGCACCCTAAAAGTGGTGTTTAATGGGGTGATTTCACTCATTAGCTGCTATAGTCCCCTTTCAGCATCATTCTTAATAAGTACCCGAGCCATGAACCTTGTCTGTGTGGGAAATAAGAAACAGAAACATGTTATGCTAATATACTCACCTCAGGAATCTGTTGCTGTCATAGCAACCAATCAATGCACCCACTATTCATATTCATATATGTACAAAATTCCCAGTCTTTTATATTTCAATTTTGTTCTGATTAGGGGGCATGGATGTGTATTTAGAAATCTTGTGGACTTAAACATGTTAATTCAAGTCCTCCTTAACCTTTTGCACCTTCAGTCCTTGCCTTACAGATTCAAAGACAGACATGAATCTTGGACCTGTAAGGTATTGTAAGAATATGGTGTGATTTGCTTGATTTCCTAGATGGCCTGTTTGACCCCTTCCATATATGCTAGGAAGGACTCTCATAATATATGAAGGGTCTGTTTGGAATTCATGAGCAGTGACTCAGATTTTACTCTGTCTTTGAGCTCCCCCAAGCCATTATTTCTGGGGTTTTTAAATCTTAATCTCTTTTTTACTCATTTTACATTCGAATTTAGAACTAATTTCTTGTTCAAGCAATTACCTTCACTGCAGTCATGGCTGTGCTGAGACACCTGATGGACCTATTTGCACTTGTCCAGAAGGATCACTTCTCCAACAAAATGGAAAAACATGCACAGGTAAGCACAAAAATATTTTTAAATATTTTAACTCCTGGGAAAATATTGCAATTTGAATTAATGTTTAAGGAGGAAAGTCATGATACATAATAATAATATTTATGTAATATTTTAGAATCTTCAAATTACTTCACAAACATTACATCAGCAGTCTTTATGACAATGTTGTGAGGTAGTTTAGAAGAATTATTCCCATATTGCTGAGGAGGGTAACTTGTTCAGTGCCACCTAGTGCCTTTTTTTCTTTTAGGCAAGATTTGATACTGATTTTTATTTATTTACCTACTTCATTTATACCGCACCTTTTCCCCTAACTGGAACCCGAAATGGCTTAGATAGTTCTCCTCTCTTCCATTTTAGCCTCACAACAACTCTGTGAGAGAGCATGTGACTGAATTTAGGAAGCAGGCTTCAACTCTTTACAATGGGTATTTTCATTGTATAATCGGTATGTGCTGACTGAAAAAACACTTTTTAGATTTCTGAATGCCGTGAGAGAATGACCAATTTTTAATTAATTTTAATTACCCCAAACAGATAGAAATAAAAAATAGAACAATGGTAGAAGGTCTACATATAAACATCTATACCGATAAGGTATTTCTCAGATTTTTTTCTAGCTTGGATTTAGCCAAATGCATGTCTGTTGTTGGGAGCAATCCTAAATGGGTCTCTGTAGAAGTAAGTCTCATTTTATTCATGAGGCTTACTGCCAGAAAACTGTTGTTAGGATAGCAGCTTGAGTGAAGATAGTTGCAGAGGGCAGCCATTTTGGTCTGCAGTAGAATAGTTAGATTCAAATCCAGTAGCACCTTAGAGACCCGCAAGATTTTCAGGGTATAAGATTTTGAAGAGTCAAAATCCCTTTCTTACCACCTTGAGTGAACTATAATTGTAAATTAAAACAAGGACTGGCTACTTGCTATTGTTCAACAGCAGCCAACCCATGAAAGCCATTGTGGGATAGTGGTTAGAGTTTCAGACTAGGATTTTGGAGGCCCAGATTAAAAGCTCCACTCTTCCATGATGTTTACTGGGTGACCTTGGGCCAGGCACGCATTCTCAGCCTAACCCACCTCACAGGCTTGTTGTTAGGACAGAACAGAGAGGAGACTGATGTGAACTGCTTTAGGTCCCCATTGTGGAAAAAGGCAGCCTTAAATGAAGGAAGTAAATAAATAATAAATACCACTGCAGATGGGAAACAGATAAAAAGTTGGTTGTTTGATGGCTGGGAAAGGAAGCATGGAAAGACGAGGATATGGGGGCTTCCAGGAGGAGGGAAAGATGAAATAGTGTAGGAAGGGGATACACAGGAAAGTGAGGTACCCTCCCCAGTCCTTTCAGGTTCCTTACCACACAACTGGCCCTGGCCCAACCAGCACTGTGAAACGTGACCAGAGTTTTCCTGGGGAGAGCTGAAGACAAGGGGGCAGGTAAAAGCAAATTGGCTGGTGGGTGTGAAGGGGAGAAAGAGGCAGGAAAAGAGGAGAGGCTATGGGGATTTGGGGGGAAAGGAAAGAGGAAAAAGAGGGAGAAAGGAAAATGAGATGTCCCTGTAAGTCCTTGCAATTCCCCATTTTTGCTACTGGGCCCGGTCAGGCAGCCAGCACTGTGCAGCTGGTCCATATGGTTTCTAGGTAGAAGCTGCCAGGGAAGGGAAGGAGGGAAAGCCAAAGATGGGAGCCAATCAAGGTAGGTTAGCTGGTAGGTGGGTGGGATGAAGAGCAGTAAGCAGGGAAAGGTGAGGATATGCGGGTTGCCAGGAGGAGAGAAACAGTGTGGGGTGGGAGATACCGAGAAAAATGAGATCCCCTCTCCAAGTCCTTGTGGGTCCCTGCTTGTTCCAGTCTATTTTTTTTTTATTTTTCTATCTTTTTCAATTAACCATTATGCTTAAATGAAACCTCTATATTCAGAGGCTTATAGGCACAGATTGCTGGGGTGCAGCAGTGTTTGTGTCCTGAACCTCCGAGAGAAATCTAGTTGAGAAACAGAATTTTGGAATAGATAGACCAGCAATCTGATTGAGCAGCACTGTTCTTAGGTTCTTTAGCAACTGCCCTGAACATCAGGCTTTCTTTTGTGTCATTAGTGAGGTACCCTATGGCAGGATATAATCTTTGGCTGCCTTGCAAATAGCCACAACATTATAGTAGTTCCTTGTTTTAGGTAAGGCTTGGCATAATGCTCAGGGCAGGCTGTGTCCCCGGGCCTGAGAGAAGTCTGGCTGTCCTCAACCAGGGCCAGGGCTTTCTTGGCTCAGACTCCTGCCTGGTGGAATGCTCTGTCGGAAGACATCCGTGCCCTACGGGAGCTGTTACCTTTCCGCAGGGCATGCAAGGCAGAGATGTTCTGCTGGGCCTTCGGTTGAGGACAGTGATGGGGCTTCTTTAGCACCTTCATATAATTCCCCATCCCTCATAACCTGGAGGCTGGGGAGTTGGGATTCCTCCGCCATCTCATATATTGTATATATGTTGCTTTTATTTACTGGTATTTATTGGATTGTTTTACTCTAGTTTTATACTGAGATTGTGTATTATTCTGTTGTAAGGGTAGGGTAGGGTGGCGTAGCAAATCCAATTTAATAAATAAATATGCATCCATTGAAATCAACTGCAACTCTGCTTAGGCTTGCATGGTTATTGCATTTTGCCTTTCATTTAAAAATTGTTTTTACATTGATTTGTGCAAGGTTGTACATCTCCGGATAATGGTGGTTGTAGCCAGATATGTACCTCTCTGAGTCCATCATCTTGGGAGTGTGGTTGCTTTCCTGGCTATGTTCTCCAAGAGGACAAAAAGCATTGTACTGTGACAGGTCAGTATTAAAATCTTGGCTGCGTGCAAATTTATTTCATTTGAGTGGCAGAACTCCTCTGATTACGGTCTTATCAAACCACATGTGATGTGGGGGTCTGTGATTGGGTCCCCTGATATGTAACTGCAGAGTTACTCCAGTCTAAACCAGCTGGGATGACTCTGCATAGGATTATGCTGCTAATCTCTAAAAGCATCTGTGGGGGAGGGAGAGTGATACGGACAACACTGGTGAAAGGGGGATAGCCATTTACGCTGGTACCATTTCCTCAGTTGAAATTGCCTATGATGGTTGGCTTTTACCTGCAACACGGGAAAATAACAAGCTCCATATGATTGCCTGTTTTTCCCCATTACCAGAATTTAAAGTCAGTGGGGGCGGGAAGGAGTAGCAGATTTAATATCGCCTGGGCTACTGCCTCAAACCATGTTAGCCCCCCTTCAACTGCATTTTGAGACTCTATAAAATGTCAGGGGATCTAACTGTGGATTCCTAATGTCACATGACTCTTATTCCACTTGAAGCCACCTGGGTGACCTTGGGCCAGTCACAATTCTTTCAGAGCTCTCTCAGCCCCTAAAAACAAGTCTAGCTTGACACTACACAATGCTAAGAGCTAAAACTTGTGGCTGCCAGACAATCTCAGGATCTTCTGAGTATTCGACACACAATGCCGTATGACGACGACGACGATGATATTCTACGGGGCATAGCTCAGAGACAAGGACTTCATCCAATTTTTATCAGTTGGGAACAGTACCTATTGGTCGGCAGCTGTGATGTAGAAAGCCTTTTTCCTGATTTCCTAGTATACATACTATCCTCTTTTCTAATTTACCTTCACAAAATTCTGTGAGGTAGAGAGAGAGAGAGAGAGAGAGAGAGAGAGAGAGAGAGAGAGAGTGGCCCAAGGTCATCCTCTGTGCTCCATGGCTGAGTGGAGAACTGAACCTGAATATTCCAAGTCCTAATCTGTCACTTCCAAGTCCTAATCTGATGCTGGTTCTCACCACTCCTGTTCCATTATTATCTACAGGACTTTCTTCCATTATTTCTATAGGAGGTGGACTGCATTCTTAAATATTGTCGGGATTAAATACACAAGCAAAGTTCATGAGGAAGAATATGCACAAAACCCTCTGACAGGCAATTAGTGGCAGCACTATTCAAACAGTTGCCTTCTATTAGTCACAGAGCTACAAATGGAATGATGACTGAATAGATCAGAAAATGGTTTTATATTGGCACCTTCATGATGTAGTAAATGCATGTCTAGTACCTGATGAAAGGTAAATTGTAGGTATTTGCAGCCAGTGTTCATATTGGGACTGCACCGGAGTGGGAGAAGAGATTTAAACTTACAGAATTTTTAAGGATAAAAGGTGGCTTTAAAGGACATGCCTTTTACCTATAAATGTTAGTAACAGCACTAAAAACCAGGTTTTGATTAGCAAAACCAAGGAGGATTGAAGAGATAAATCCCAGCTCATCACTCCATGCAAACCTGATCTAACTAAAGATGGATAGAGATCTGCAATATGTTTTTCAAGCCCTGCTCTCTGTCCGGCACCTTCAGAGATGAGGCAGGTGGTTACCCAGAGGCATGACCCTTTTAGTGGTGGTACCTCACCTGTGGACTGGCCTTCCCCTTGAGGCTTGCTTGGCCTCTGCTCTAATGTTTTTAGGTGCCAGGCCAAAATGTTTCATTTTACTGAAGCTTTTAATTTAGGAGGGAGTAATGACATGTTTAGTCTGAGTTCTTTTTTTATGAGACTCATTTTAAGCTGCCAATATTTTGTGCTGTTTTTATGCTCCGACTGGGGTTTTTTTGTACTGGGTTTTCAATTGTTAACAACTCTTATTTTGTGGTTTTTTATTATGTTGTATTTTGTAAGCTGTCTCCAGCAGGCTCCCTGGCAATGGGGCATAGACATTTTCTATATAAACAAATGAATTCCTATTTCCCATAGGTGAGAGATCCAGGCTTAACTATATGTTACACCCCCCCCTGGTACTCCCTGGGTCAGCATGATGTGCTTGCAAGTTCACCAAAGGGAATTCAATTCCCAGTTTAGATCAGGGTGGTGGACAGTTGCCACTTGTCATTTGCCTGCTATAAGTGGGCACTCCCTTCCTAGTGCTCCCACCAGCACTCAACAGAGTGGCAGGGGTGGGGGGGCATTGCACAACACTGTGACATCACTTTATTTATTTATTTATTATTAGATTTATAACTCGCCCTCCCCAGAATGGGCTCAGGGCGGCTGACAAATGAGGCACGTATGCCAAGATTAAAACAACTAAAACAGAATAAAACAATCATTTATACAATAAGGTGCAAGTGCTCTAGTTGTCACAAAAGCCCTTAATAACAAGATGGGGTTCTGGTAAAGATGGTCCCGGAACAACAACTGAAGACCTGGAAGTGATGCCACCATGTCAAGCACCTATCTAGGAATCCTCCCAATCTCTAGTCTCTATGGTTCTTCAATGGGGAACACACAAACATATGTCTGACCAATGATTCTTGTAGTGGACCCGGACCCAGTCTGAAGACTGTGTATTATGTAGTTTGGCCTTAAGTGATACTTTTAAGGGAGTATTATAGAGAAAAGGGCTGGATTCAAATGCAGTCTAAAAGAACCTGAATAAATATTACTTTGTGTCAGACTAGGATCTGGGAGATGCGAGTGTAAATCCCCACACTGCCTTGGATGTCCACTGGGTTCTCTCTCAGCCTAACCTGCCTCACAGGATGGAAACTGTAAAGATAAAATAGAGAATATTGTGATTGTTTTTGGTCTCTGTTGGGGAAAAAGCAGTATATAAATACATAAATAAATAATCTATATATCTCAGCTATTTTTAATGGATACCAGTTTTACTTGTAACATATCATTAGTAGATCATTAACTGTCTCTTTTCAGTGATTAGAGCTTTTTGTAATTAATTTAGTTATTCTGATGAATGGAAATTAAAGAGCTGAAGAGTACAGAAAAGGGAAGAGCCATAGACTGAAAACGGCCTTTTCCCATGCGTAACTTCTAAACTATAGATCATTATGGGGACAGGAAGTATTAACATTATATGTCTTGCGAACAGGGCCCAAGCCATTTCTGTTGTTTGCAAACAGCCGAGATATTCGGCGCATTGATTTTGATGGAACCGATTACTCAAGTTTACTTGGCTGGCAGATGGGAGCAGTCTTAGCTCTGGACTATGACCCTGTTGAAAATAAGGTAAGGCATTAAAAGAGAGGATTTTAAAGCATTGCAAGGACACACAGCTTTTGCTTCTTTGCATTTTGTGGTTCTTCATAATATGAATCAGATGCTGTCTTTTGCCAAATGTTCTTAGTATAAGTTGTTTGTTCTTTGTAGAATGGTATTGATTCCACAATCTACAGCTCTCTTTTTTTGCTGTAGCTAATAACATGGAATATATGTCAGCCTCAACTCATACGAAATTTGTTTTGAAGGTGTCAGAAATCCTTATTAAACCTATCCCATTTCAGGGGGGAAAATCTGGATTGCAAATTTTTATAAATTTTTGGAATGAAGATTTAGACCTACCAGAAACAGGGGATTCTGCAGCTTAGTTAAGCATTTGTTCTTTGTTGACCATGACCAAATCCTGGTCCTACAGACCATATAACAACAATCATTTGTAATTTATAGGGGAAAGTTGAGAATCATAACATTTGGGAGATAGTGAATGATGACTTTCAGAAAATTATGTACAGCAAGTCCTAGTACATTCAGGAATTGGCAAAATTCTCTCCCTCTCTCAGGTTATATGAGTGTACTGACAAAATATGCAACACAGAGAAATGATATGTTTTACTTTTTACTTGAGTTAGAGACGGTTGCAACTAGCAGAAAAAATTCCTTGAAAACTGCACATTGTTCTGAAACAAAAAAATTATCATCCACGCAATACTCATTGCTGTTCATGCCCCTCTGTTGCATTGATGTGCCATGGAAGAAAGGCAGAATACAGATAAAAAATTGGTCCACACTCTTATCCTACCACCCATTTAAAGTACTATACACACATTTGGAACACAAATTTTAGTTCATGAGGCAGTCTGAATGATTTCTGCTTAATTATATAATAATAAAAGAAGGAATTATGCTTGGTATGGTTAGTGGCAAAAGGAAACTGGGCCATCAAAGAACATGGTGGCTAGACTCCATAAAAGTCTACACCAGCCTGAGCATGGAACGACTCAAAGAAAAAGTACAAGACTGGAAAACATTGAGACAGCTGGCCCATAGAATTGCCAAGAGTCGGACACAACTGAATGGCTAAAAACAACAACAAAAAAGAAGAAGTGTTTTGTTTCTTCCTCACAGAACAAATGAAACAGGGCTGCAATGCCCCAGAGCTCAAGGTGGGCCTTACATTCTAAATCTGAGGTGCCAAAAGGCTTTCTGTAGCCATTAATCTGTGGGTATTTCTGTAAGGGATATTTTAATTGACTCTTGAATTTCTTGCATTTCTGCAACAATATCCTTTAGAGTCAGTGCATTTTACACTCTTTGAAACAGAATATCTCTGAATTTGTTTGTGCGAAACATGCCACAGAACCAGGAGGAAAGCCCCAGTCTTTCCCCCCAAAATGGCAAATGTTTCACGATGATACCTTCTGTTGTTAAGAACAGAAAAATACCATCACATTTGAACAATATTAGTCCCGCCCTGACCTGGATAGCCCAGTCTAGCCCGATCTTGATCTTGGAAGCTAAGCAGGGTCAGCTATGGTCAGTATTTGGATGGGAAACCACTAAGGAATACCATGGTTGTGACGTAGAGCCAGGCAATGGCAAACCATTTCTGAATGTCTCCTGCCTTGAAAACCTGACAGGACCACCATACGTCAGCTGTGGCTTGGGGGCAGAGAGAGAGAGAGCGAGAGAGAGCGAGAGAGAGAGAGAGCCCTGCTTATAGGTTATTTCAGTCAAAAACATCCCCCTCCCCATATTTCTCATTAATTGCATCCAAAGGTAAAACCAAGATCCAGAGCCCAAAATATGTGAATGTGGCACACCTCATCCTCCTTTTCTTACTTCACAAACTGTGTTAAATATGACAAGCTGGCTGGTTGAAAGGGGAATGCAGGATACTGGGGAGATGGTATATAGGGCAGCTGGGATTTACTTGCTGAAGAAATCAGTCTCCTTGAAGGATAAGTGACTGCTTATTTGATCTATAATCAGAGACTGCAACTTTTTAAAAATAACTCCATTATGTTTCTCTGAAAGAAATTTCATTGCTAGAGGTAAAGCTGACTAGATAAGGAAATCCTACCCCCCAAATAAGAGGTGCAGTAATCACCTACAAACCTTCTGTTTCCTCACCACAGATTTATTTTGCCCACACAATACTGAAGCGGATAGAAAGAACTAATCTCGATGGCTCAGACTGTGAAAAAGTTATCCATGATGCAATGGAGAGACCCGAGGGGCTTGCTGTGGACTGGATTAACCGTAAATTGTATTGGACTGACAAGGGGTATGCTTCTCCCACAGATATTACAGGATGCCTAATGCTGGCATAAGACATTTTGAGACATAAACAACCTGCAAGAAGTAATTGAAAAGTTGCTCTTTGATACCAGCATGTTTTGTATGCTTATAGCAAGTCATCACTGAAATTCAGCAGCAGGAAAGCCAGTTGCCAAATGTCAAAGAGTCAGAGAGAGACCTTTCGTTTAATAATATATTGGATATGTCGCAGAAAGCTAGGGTGAATTCTGAACCTGCTTCTTTTTGGGAAAATAAGAATGGAAATGGGGTTAGAAAATGCAACTGTTGCTGTCTTTTGCCTTTGCGTTATTCCTGTTCTCCTCAGTCTTTCTAAGTTTCCATTAAAATAGAAAGAATACATTTAGCATTAAACAGGAAAGATAGAAGTAAGGAAGTTTGGTCTTCTTGAGCCAGAAGCAGGCTGGTACAATACGTTACCGGCAGATAATAGTTATGAGGGGAGAAATGTGGACAGCTCACAGGAGTTAAGTAATCTCAGGAACCACATATACACAGAATTTAAGGTCCTGCTGAGCTCACAGCCTCATCTGGGGCCATGGCACTCTGTTAATTGCACAAAATATTTCACATAAGTCTGCCTTAATGACCTTTCCATAATATTTCCATTTTAGGGAAGGAAGGTGAAATGAGCTACTAGCTCTTTTCAGACAACTTTTGACTATTGAATGCACACGGGAGCCTGGAAAGTGGCAGTGGCAAGTTCTGATTATAACTTACTCACATTTGCTATACACTGAGAGCCAGTATGATGTAGCATTTAGACTAGGACCAGGGAGATCCAGGTTCAAATCTCCACTCTGCCATTTTGGGTGACTTTGATCCAGTCGTGCTCGCTTGCTCTTGGACTCACCTGTCTACCCAAGTTATTGTGAAGATAAAACACAGAAGTGGAGAAAAAAGCCTGCTTTCCTGAGCTCCTTGAATGAACAGCAGAATAAAGTAAAGGTAAAGGTTTCCCTTGCTTGAAAACCAGTTTCCAAGCCGAAGAGCCAGCGCTGTCCGAAGACATTTCCGTGGTCATGTGGCCAGCATGACTAAACACTGAGGTGCACGGAATGCTGTTACCTTCCCACCGAAGCGGTACCTATTTATCTACTTGCAGTTTCTTGCTTTTGAACTGCTAGGTTGGCAGGAGCTGGGGCCAGAGACGGGAGCTCACTCCGTCACGCAGCACTAGGGTCTCGAACTGCCGAACCACAGACCTTCCGGTCTGCAGCTCAGCGTCTTAACCTCTGAGCCACTGCGGCTCCTGAACAGCAGAATAAGCTTCTATAAACAAATATTATTATAGTCTTATTATATTTTTTATTATTAAAGAAATAAATATTTATGCATGCTTATGGGCTTTATACATGTGGATGGGAACTCCACAAAAGCAAAGTTTTGATCATGCTTTTCTGCACTTTGTACATAGATATATTTTCATAGTGCACTGAGTGCATGCAGATAAGACTAGTTGCTAGCCCTGTGAGCCTGCTCCCAGCCCCCAATACTTGGTATACCTGCGTTTGCTTTCTGAAATGGGCCCAGTGGCTGACAACAACAACTTGTGCATCTGTAGCTGATACAACATTTGAATCTATATTACTTGTGTTCTTATTCGCTGTGCTAAATCAGCACCTGCCCTCTATAGAATAAAAATCTGTTCCAATGACTGCTAATATTTATCATTCCATAATGCAAAATGGGCTTGGTGCACTGCAGAACAGGCAAAGTCTTACCCAGACATCTTTAAAATGTTAGAGCAGGGTTCCCCAACATGGTGCCTGCCAGTACTTCACTTAGTGGTTGCTGAACTTTCCAGAAAGAGGTGGGGCCATTGTAAGGTAGGGCTTATTATTGGCTGCCCTCAGGGCTTTTCTTTTCTTTTCTTTTTTGAAAAAGAGGTGCGGGAACTCTCAAGAGGGAAATTAAGTTTTCAATCTGTATAGTGAAAACTCATGAACTTTTTCCCCCCTCCATCCCCCTGGGGGGAGGTTTTTATTGAGGTTTTTTTCAGACTTCAAAACTACAACAGAAAATACAGGAAAGGGAACTACATCTAAGGAATAAAGAAAAAAGACCCACAACTAACTAGAAACTCAAGAGTAGGAGATTATACATCAGTTTAACACCATGCTATTTTCAAAAAGCTACTAATAATATAATGAACTTAGTCGGTTATACTAGATTAATTATCGTTTAACCATCCCTTTAACTGTTTAAAGAAATTCCCAGAGCATCCCCAAGTTATTTCAACATTTTTTCAGGCACCAATCAGAGTCCTTCAGCCCTTATTTATTCTTATCTTTTCTAATCCTCAGTTTATAAGGGCTTTTGGGGGCAGCCACCCCCTTTTCAGAGGGGGAGTCCTCGTCCGAAGACCCCAAACCCAACTTGCCATCAGATTTGCTTTCTTTTTCATCCTCTTTGCCCTTTCTGGTTCCCCAAGCTGAGTCAAAACTCACGAACTTTTAAACATTTTAAAAAGAATGTTGTCAAAGAGGTTCTGGAACTCTGTTCCGGCACGTTCCCTCAGGAAAAAAGCCCTAGCTGCCTACATTCAAATGAAAGGGATTTCCATGGGAAGGTGAGGAGGGCTGGAAGCAACTGGGCTTCCCCCTTTTTTTTTTGGTCCCCCAAAGGGGGCTTTTTTAAAATTTGCATTTCTATAAACTACAAACTATAAAACTACAACGAAATCAAGGTAGGGAACTACATACTAAAGGAGAAAGTAAAGAAAACCCTCTAAAAACCCAAGATATGGTGACCTTACATACTACTTAAAATTATAAGCCTACAGTATTTAAATGTTTACAAATTATTTGATTGTGGTCATCAAATCAATTAAAGCTAATAATGTAATTTTAAACACCTCTGCTTCTAACTTCTTACTAAAAACAATATTAGACTTATATCAATATATTCTGATCACTTTCAGAGTGTAATATCATCTTATTTTGTATGCTTTGTCTTTCTCAAATGATAGCTAATCTTTGGGGCAGCCGCCCCTAGTTTAGAGTCTGAGTCTTCTTCTGAGGATGCCGCTTCTCCTTCTTCTTCACTGCCCTTGGTGCTGTCCTCGTTCTCCACTTCAACCTCTCCTGATGGACGACTATGTAGACGTAGAAATTCTTGTGCCTTTTCAACAGTGTTAATTTTTTCTTTTCCAGCCATAAATTTAAAAATTAACCCTTCGGGTACCAGCCATCTGTAGGGGATGTTTTTCTTTTGTAAAAATGTCACTAAGTCTCTGTACTTTCTCCTTTTTCTTCTTATTTCAAATGGAATGTCCTTTAATACTTTTATTTCTTTGTCTTTGATCTTTAAGGTGGTCCTATTTGTCACTTTAAGAATTTGGTCTCTCACTTATCTTCTCAAGAATCTAATAATCACTTCCCCAGGCAGATTATTTTTTCTTATATATTCCAAATATGATCTGTATATCATATCTATTTCGCTTTGTAAAATTTCCATTTTATATCTGCCATAGGTCCAAGTACATCACACATAGTCTGTTTCAGATTCTCTGGTTTTTCTTCAAGAACATCTTGAAATCTTAGAACATAGCTGGCTCTTTCCATTTGCAGTTGTAACAGTTGAAACTCCTCTGTCAATCTCTTTTTTTCCATCACCTGCAGTTGTTTTTTAAGTTTTTTAGTATTGGCATCCACTTCTTTTACTTCTTGTTCTGTCTTGTCTGTTTTTTTGGATATCTCAGACAGTTGAAGTTGCTGTGTGTCAAGTTTGCTGTGCAGTGCTGTAACTTGCTCCAGCAGGGGTCGCAATGCTTTCGATAGCATCTTTTGTAACTCCGCAGTTGTGTCCTGTCTAGAAGAAGGACTCACTGGCCCTGTATTTCTGGGAAGAAGTTTTGATTTAGCTTGCTTGTCTTTCTCATCCTTCTTCGTGGGCGCCATCTTTGAGATTGTTTACAATTCTTAAAAGTTACTACAGTCTCTGATTCTCTCCGCTCAGTTTAGTAAGTACTTAAATGATTTTAGTTTCAGTCTCTCTTGCTTCAATCTTCCCCCCTCCCTTCTTGCAGTGTTAAAAGTTCACTTACAATCTTTTATTATTGGGGGAGAGTTCACCCCTCCTCTTTTAAAGGGAGGGTTTCTGCCGCAATTTGGTGATTCTTGCTTAAAACTTTAAACTCACATTTCAGAGTTTCACTTTTTTCCCATTCTGCTGGATCACCAAACGCCTGATTCAGTGTGCTGCTCCTAGTCCCATTCAGGAGCTCTGCGGGAGGACCTTCGGGGCAACAGGACACCTCAATCCACTGGCTTCGTGCCGGGGGGAGAGGTGAACTTGATCCCCATGGCTAGGAGCTCATTCCCAGCGCTCCTGGGGAGCGCAGACATTTGCGCCCCCTCCCCTCCACAGACTTGCAGTCCGCTTCCTCGAGAGTGACCGAGGATTGCTGCCGCCTTCGAGAGCGCTGAAACTGGAAGTCGCAACTGGGCTTTCCTTAGTCAGTGTGTGGTTCCATTTCCCCTTCAAGCTTTCCTTCTTCCCAGGAGGTATGAAGAAGGAGGTATGCCATTCAGCTCCACCTCCGATGGCAGCCATTTTGGGTTTGGCTTGGCCTCCTGTGGCAGTCATTTTGCCCCCTCTCAGAATTCCAAATGTGCCCAACAGGCTCAAAAAGGTGGGGGACCCCGGTGTTAGAGATACAAGAAAGGGCTGGGAATAAAAGGTCAAGAAGGAGCTAGTAGTAGGGATAGAGTGAGGCAGAGTAGGGACAGAGTGAGGCAGAAACTAGCAGCAGGGGAGCAGTTAAAACGGACCTAGTTGCAGTCACTGCCTAGAAGAGTAGCCATGCATTTTTACTAAAATAAATGATTGTGCACTAACGGATCCATCTGTATTGCAGGATGTCCCACATTGAAATGAGTGATCTAAATGGAATGCAGAGGAAAATAATCATCCAAGAGGGTGTGTCTCAGCCTCAAGGGATTGTTGTTCATCCATTTGCTGAGTAAGTTGCCCAGCATACTTTGAAAGCAACACTAGGTGGTATACATTTTCCAAAGAGTAACACTTTTTAAAAACAATTAGGAGAAAGCTAGTGTTCAGAGGGTTTATTCATTTATTTAGAGTATTTTTATGCTGCCTTTCCAGGGAACCTGCCCTAGGAGGCTTACAAAATAAAACATAATGAAAACATAAAACATTAACATTTATTAACAAATATCCAGAATTTAAAAACCCAGCCGGAGCAGAAAACAGATGGAGCAGGATTTTAAAATAACAGTTTTCAGCCAGAGTATAGAAATAGACAGGGCTATTTTTGGGCAGGAACGCACAGGAATGGAGTTCCGGCTGGCTTCAGAGTTGGCCATGCCCACTAGAGCCAAAACCTCTGCGTGCGTGGCTACAGAGGGAAGGCAGTTTAAACTTGGCAAGCCAAGGGAAGGCATGGGGTGTGGCCTAATATGCTAATGTGCTGTGCTGTCACAAAAAAGCCCTGGAAATAGATGATTGAGTCGCTCAAAATAACAGGTTTCACTCCTTTAATTAAAAGACAGAGCAGCAATGTTTTGGCCAGGTGCCTAAAAGACTGTAACGTAAGGGCCAGGCAAGCCTCTAGAGGAAAGGCATTCCATTAATGAGGTGCCATTACTGAAAACGCCCTGTCTCTGGTTGCCAACTGCCTTATCTCTGAAGCTTGGGGTATGGATAGCAGCACTTGAGAGGCAGATCTTAACTAGCAGGCTGGAGAATATGGGAAGAGGCAGTCCTTCAAAATGCCTGGCTCCAAGTCAATTAGGGTAAGAACCAGCATTTTGAATTATGCCCAGAAAGAAATGGTCAGCCAGTGCAGATATTTCAGCAATAGAGTGATATAGTCCCTGTATCCCATCCTCAATAATAGCCTGACTTTTGGACCAGCTCAATCTCCCAGAGCATTTTTAAAGGCAGCCTCATGTAGAGTGACTTACATTGAGCTCATTGCCATGCTTTTACTGAGTCTGCCCACCTCATCATTTGATGTTTTCGGCCTTCCTATACCTAACAATTCTGACTTGGTCCAGAAAGATAGGGGTGTTGCTGAAACCCCAAGTACATTGGCACACACTGCAGAAGACTACAGCTTGCAGGACAATGGTCATAAATTAAGGGACTTTCCTCACTTGTCAGGCAGTCCTTCAAAATGCCTGGCTCCAAGACAATTAGGGTAAGAACCAGATTTTTGATTTATGCCCAGAAAGAAATAGGCAGCCAGTGCAGATATTTCAGCATTAGAGTGATATAGTCCCTGTATCCGGCACACACTGCAGAAGACTACAGCTTGCAGGACAATGGTCATAAATTAAGGGACTTTCCTCACTTGTCAGCTATAGCATGCGGCAGCTGCAAGAAATGCCTATGCTGAATTCAGTTAGTGCCAGTGTATGTTAAGTGCCATCAAGTCACAACCAATTTACCGCAACCCCAAGAGACAGGCAGAAGTAATTTGCCATTGTCTTCCTCTGCAGAGCCTTCTTTGGTGGTCTCCCATCCAAATACTGACCTTGCTTTGCTTCTGAAATCTGACGGGGCTGTACTATGCTACCTTCCCTCGTGTTGCAGTGTAAAGAGTTATGTGTATCCACCACCATTTAGACCAGCATTATTCTTTTGTTTTGGGAAGAGAGAGACTAGCTTTGAAGGACTGGTGAAAGAAGAATCAGACAAGAATCGTTTAATTAGCTATTTAATTTTTTATTGCAGAGATATCATCACTTGAAAATAGCAGTGTCTGATAAAGGGATTTGCTAACACTATTAGGAACTGCTTCCTACCACTATGGGATGATAACAAGAATTCTCATCCTTGTCTGCAACCAGTGGGAGATGGCACTAGGGGCAGGCTTTGCCTCAGCTGAGCCCCTGAAAGCATGCTGTTGCTGACTGTGCCTGGCCTGGGCTGCTGGTCTTACCAGAGTCAACTATTGGACAATCAGTAACCATGTGTGTGCAGTGTAGTTACCGAAACACTCTTTGCCCCTAACCACTGCCACAAATTTCATTTCTCTGATCAATCAGCTGGCACATCCTTCTTGTTCCTGCTAATGAACTAGTGAAAGCCAGCATGGTGTAGGTGAACTTGGTCCAAATCCCTACTTCACTATAGATCTCACTGGGTGATATTGGGTCAATTGCTTCTCTTTCAGCAAAATTGTCGTTTGGGGGAAAAAATGGAGGAGGGGAACACCGTGTGCATTTCCTTGAACTCTTTGGAGGAAGGTGGGGTTAAAAAATACAGCAATGTGTGTTTCACTGGTTATCATTGCTTGTGGAAGGTGACCTTGTCTACTGATGACACCCTGCTACTGTAGGTCTTTATCTAGATAGCCTGGTGGTGCTGTAAAGATCCTGAATCAGTGCTGTGGTTAAATGGCTAAGGGGAACCAGCTGGAACCAAATCCTGACAAGACAGAAGTAATGTTGGCTAGAAAGGCTGAAGGCTAAGCAGGGCCAGTGGCGCAATGGATAACGCGTCTGACTACGGATCAGAAAGGCTGAAGGCTGAGGTCTGGAAGGACTTTGTAGTTCCCATTTTTGAGGGGGTTCAGCTGATACTTGTTGACTGAGTGATGAGCCTTGGGGGTTACACTGGACCAATGTTCCCTCTAAGCTGTGGAGTCTTGTGAGCAAAAATTCTACTTTGAGAGCTACTGGCATTAAAGTTGTGAGCAAACGATTTGGCTGCTGCATAAATTAGTTTGCTCTGGACTCTGAAGCCATCCTTCCTGAGCTAAGACAAAAATGTGTGAGCTGGAGGCTAAAAAACTGTGAGCTAGCTCACATTAACTCAGCTTAGAGGGAACACTGCACTGGACCCAGAATTATGGCTGGGGAGGAAAGTTAATACAGCTGCAAAAAAGGGCATTCTTCCATTGTCATTTAACCTGGAAGATGGTCCCTTACCTCGACGCAGCTGATCTGGCCACCTGAATCCATGCAGTTATTATCTTGAGGCTAGATTGTTGCAGTGCACTCTCAATAGGTTTACTCTCAAAGAAAGCTTGGAAACTCCAGCTGATATAGAATCCCACAGCTGTTGGGTGCTGGGCAGAACATGCATGACACACTTGTTCTGCAGACACCTCATTGGTTACTGATCAGTGCAGCAAAGGGTTGCCTTGCACAGGTGCTTTTCTTTCTTTTTTGCTCTGTTGTCCAGTTCTGTAATTATAGTCCTCCTGCACTGTCACGTGGAATTCTCTCCTGTCTGATTGTTTTATATTCTGCAATCCACCTTGAGTCTCAGCAAGAGCTGTAAATGAAGTAAATAATCTATACCTATATCTATTTAAAATAATTTTCCTGTGATTAGGGATAGGTTTTATCAGTTGCAAAATAGCAGTCTGCCAATATTATGTATGTCCCACTCTCCCAGCTAAGTCCTGCTATCTTTTGTGTATTTTGCTTTGTATTCCAAAGCTACAGAAACCTTATGCAGTTATTATATCTGTTTTTCTTCACCACCAGGAGACTCTTTTGGACAGAAACAGGGATCCATTCTCAGATTGAAAGTTCTTCCTTGCACGGCACCAGTCGTCTCGTTATAGCCAATTCAGGCTTAGTTTGGCCCAGTGGAATAACAATTGACTACCTAGCTGACAAGTTGTACTGGTGTGATGCAAAACAGTCTGTTATTGAAATGGCAAACCTGGATGGATCGAACCGCCGAATATTCGCACGGAAAGATGTAGGTGAGGCGTTGGGGTTGATCGCTTTATGACTGTAGATAAAAGGGTTTATGTCCTCTGTATGTATATGTGGAAAGGCCAGCTTTTGTGTTAATCACTGCATTGTGAACTCTACAAAGAGACCAACTAAATTAAAATGAAGTAATAAGGAGAGCAAGAAGAATCTTGCTGTGTATGTGCTTAGGTAAAGATTAAATTGAGTAGCTTCATGAGCTCAATGTTGCTGGTATTTTTGTTCGCTGAGAATTGTGACGAATTGTTGATTTTTAAATTGGGATTTTGAACCACCTTGGGAAAACTGGGATAAGACATAACTTTATAAACAAATATAAAAGTAAGCTGAAGTTTAACAAAGAAACTTGAAGTAAAACGGAATAGAAGTTATACCCTTCCAAGACCATTGACTTCAGTGGATTTAGAAAGATTTAACACTGCTTAGGACAGCTCTGTATTTGCTTCCTCCCCCCAATCTGATGCTACTTTTATGCTGTTTTTGAAACCTGAAAAGATTTTTTTTCATTGTTTGAGCACAGCCATTATGAAATGAACATAATGTTGTGGTGTCACATAGCAAAGCAGAGTTGGTTCTGTGTTGATGTCACAAAGACTTCTTCTTGCGTTGACTTGGAAGAGTGGGACAAAGATGTTGGAATGCATCTCCACTGGCCAGGCCACTAGACTGATGCTCCCTGTTTTGCAATGTTGTGGTGGAAAACTCAATGCCTGTCAGTATTGTTCAAGAGATTTTATCCTAATATAGATTTAGTTGAGGATAGTTACAATTAAATGAGGCAGCATGTGGATTCCAGTTTATAGAATGCTGTGTGAACAAGATCTACTTTTAGGTGCATAATTATACATGGATGTGGCCTGTACTGCATTGCTTACAATAGAATACACATTTAGATGCATATCCAAATGTACTTCCCCATCCACTGTCTGCCCCAGTTAGTTAAATAACATGCCTGGAACACTGTGAAACAATGCTGATACATTCCCTCTTCCCCCAGATACTCCTCTTTTCTGCACAGTTTTGTACCCTTTATGAAATGGATGGAATATCACTTTAGGAGATTGTAAATTCAGCGATAGAACGATGGATGTCAACTTCCTTATTGCACTACTGCTGCCCCCTAGTGTTATTCTTGCTGTAGTGAAAATGATACTCCAGCATCAGCTATAAGAAATAGAACTAAAATATTGCATAATATGAGAATGCCAGGTTCAGATGAGGAAATCTTCAATATCAGTTTGGAATTTGTCCGCATAACAAGAACAAGTTAAAAAGAACACTCAGTTTGGAATTTGTCCGCATAACAAGAGCACTAATACTAGTGCTGATAATTACAGAGGGATAGCCTTGTTAGTCTGTTGTAGGAAAATTAAACACAAGACCAGTAACTCCTTAATGAGGGACAAACTTAATTCCAGCATAAGTTTTCATGAGCTAGAGCTCATATATTTGAAAAAGTGAGCTTTGAGTCAAAAAAGGTTATGCTGGAAAATATTTTGCTAATCTTTATGGTGCTGTTAGACTACTGTTTAATTTTAGGACAAGTGACTAAGTCTCTGAAGAACACCAAAGACCATAGATGTCATCCACCCAAACAATTATCCCCAAAGCTCAGTTCTGTGCTTATCACATCTCCCTTATAAATAAAACCCGAATGGTGGTGGCACTTCTCTAGAACATTCCACACGCTCCAAAATCAGTTCGCTCTCTGATCTGTCATTTATGCGACTTGATTGGCTTTTGCCTCCAACATTCTAAACAGTTTGCTCTTCTGAGGTAAAATGTGTCCAATCTCCAGGTGAGGGCTGGAGATCACTCCGAATTACAACTGCTTTCCAGACGGCAGAGATCAGTTCCCCTGGAGAAAATGGTGGGCTCTGTATCCTTATATGTTGCTGAAGTGGCCCCCCGTATGACAACCAATGTGACGTAGCAGTCAAGGCTTCAGAGCACGGGAGAGGCTGCAGGTGTGTGTGGGGTGGAAAGCTGAAAAGTGAGGGGGAAATAAAGGTAGGTTGATGATTGGCTGGGAAGTAGATAGTGTTGCCAACTCCAGGTAGGAAATTCCTGGAGATGTGAGGGATGGAGCCTGGAGAGGGTGAGGTTTCAGGAGGCGTGGGACCTCGGACAGGTACGAAGCCATAGACTCCACCCTCCAAAACAACTATTCCCTTCTGTGGAACCACCATTGCCAATCTCCAGGTGAGGACTGGAGATCACTCAAAATTACAACTGTTCTTTAGGTAGCAGAGATCAGTTCCTCTGGAGAAAATGGTGGACTCAGTGTCATTATACCCTGCTGAGGTCGCCACAGCAAATTGACACTGAGTGTCCAAGGCCGGGGCACCCGCCCAGAGCCTCTTTCTAGAGGCCGTTGTATTTATTTCCACAACTAGCCTTTTTCCTAGTATTCTTATAAAACAGACAAATCCCAGGTAACCTCCATGTTACAAAACAGAAGCAAATTGGGAATAGCACACTGAAATGTTGCAGAACTTGTAGTTCATATTGATTCAGATAAGAAAGCTACATAAACTGCCAAAAAAGGCACCCAACCTCATCTGGAGTAATGGGATCATTTCTGGGATTACAGATCAAAAGTAATGAAGACAAATCCAAGGAGGTTAGGGCAGATCATCAGAAACATTTAGTTGTTTAAAGAGCAGGTCTAGGATTAAGCTGTTATTTAAGGTTGATAAAAGTATGTCAGTGGCCAGTGTACAGACAGTGTGTTCAAATATTTAAAAGGTTTTCAGAAAGAAGAATGAGATGAGCTGTCTTCCTATATGATGTGGGTAGTAAAAGAAGTAACATTTTGGAACTGTGGATAATAATCCAGTTTCAGATGAACCTTAGCTAGAATTTGTAAAGGTCATTTTCAAATGGAACAAGTTGTGCAGGATATTTGTGGCGTCTCATTCTTTGGAGGCATTCAAACAGTTTGGTGTAGTGGTTAAGTGCGTAGACTCTAATCTGGGAGAACTGGGTTTGATTCCCCTCTTCTCCACTTGCAGCTGCTGGATGACTTTGGGCAAGCCATAGTTCTATCAGAGCTGTTCTCTCAAGGACAGTTCTTGAAAGAGCTCTCTCAGCCCCACCTACCTCACAGGGTGTCTGTTGTGGGGAGATGAAGGCAAAGGAGTTTGTAAATCACTCTGAGACACCAAGTGAAGAGTGGGGTATAAATCCAATCTCCTTCTCCTCCTCCTCCTTCTCGACTGAGGGCTAAGTGACCTCTCTCAGGGCAAGAGGCTAGACTGGGTAAACAACAGGTTTCTTCCAACCTTGTGACAATGGTTTGGATTCAGTTAGCCATTTCATTCAATCACTTCCAATTCTACTTCTTACATGCTCCTATCCTACCTGACATTTGGCTGTGAAGGTCTCATAACCCCCAGCATAACCATTTGGTTGTCAAAGGGGACCCCTCCTCCCCTTTTAATAAGAAAGCAGATTGGATCCGACCCATGGTGTTTTACTTGTATTAGACATGTTAAGAATAGATAGTTATGTGCATAAACTTGTTTACTTAATGTAATATATTTGTGTAAATATGAGAATATGTGTATATTTTTAGGACATCCATTTGATATAACAGTATTTGAGGGTGACATTTGGTTCTCTGACTGGGCTAAGAATTCATTAATGAGAGTGGACAAGAAGACTGGACAAAATAGGGTACGTCTTGGAGGCAGCATACTGAGGCCATCCTCACTGGTGGTCATCCATCCCTTAGCTAAGCCAGGTATGTTTCCAAAATCATGCAACTGCTTTCTTATTAGATCAGGTTTCTTATTAGACCAGGTATATTTCAAAAGTCATGCAGCTGCTTTCTTATTAGACCTCTTTTTTCATTGCTAATCTGTTAGTTAATTTTATTTGACTATCTCAAAAACAGAATTACTGGACAAGCAGTACGTGGTGGAAATAAAGGAAAACCTGGTGGTATCAAATTTGATGAGACAGATACCTGATTGATGCACTTTCATTTACTGAACTAAACACTCTAAATGTTATGAATGTTACAGAGATTCCACTTGAGGTAGTTTGGAGATATTCAAGTCTCTACAGCCGTTGGACTTTGCTTTTATTTTTAACTATGCTTTTCTTCTGATTGACTTCGATGACTAAATTTTGATTACAGTTTTGAAGCCCTAGAGTGCAGCAGCCTATCCCCACTCATTCATTCCTTATTGTTTCAGGCCGTATGTTTATCCCCGAGGAGAGACTGTCAACTAACAAGACATCAGCACTGGAAGTTAGATACCAGCCTCGTTTAAGGAACAATGCATATGGAGACAGCAGTGGAAAAGATCTACAGATGTTGACTGCAGAAATTGTGGTGTCTGGTAAAGACTGCAGGCTCCTATTTCCAGTAGCAGGGGTAGCCAAGAGAGTCTAAAACAGAGTCCAAACAGAGTGTGCCACTGGTGGAAGTGATGCTATGTCCAGTGGTGCTATTTCTCTAGCAAAATAACTCTGTTTCAGAGGTAGACTCCCTAGTGTTCTTTCCCAGATCACAGAGATGGAGGACAGAGTACATTTTCAAATTGTCTAGTACTAGGGTTGCCAAGTCTTACCTTTAGCTGGAGCGGGGGACTCCCGGCTGTTTCCCGGAGCGCGCACGTGCCCCAACCACATCACCTAGAAGTGACGTGATCACGCTGTGGGCGGGGCCACGACCATCCGAGGGAAAAACATAGAGACCCCAGTGTGCCCGGCGTGGTCGCGTCACTTCCGGGTGACATGTACGTCACGTACTTTGGGGATGGGGTTCCCCCCGGGGCCCAATCCGCTGGCGGCGAGGAACGGGCCTCTGGGGCTGGGGTTTCCCCGCCCCCTGGGGGGACTTGGCAAGCCTATCTAGTACTCCTCCATCACTGGAGTTTTGCCTTTGTTTGGGACCCACATATTAATTCCAAACCCTGATTTTCAAATTAAATATTGTTGGGTCTTATACTTTATTCCCCACAATTGCCAAAGCCAGTTTGGTTACGTGCTCATAGCATCAATAGACTTTCCAACCCATCATTTTGGAAGCCTGATCATGGCCATTTTCATATGGGTTCAATGCTGATGGAAAATCCCCCCCCCGAGCATTGTGGTACATTTATATGCCTTCTGGGGTGTCCCTGGCTTTTCTTCAAACTGTCTCAAACCTACTTCATTGCAAAGTTTTGGAAAAGATCACAGTAAAGTCTGAAAGGCTGCTATGCTGGTGGGTAATTCAGATTTCCCCACCCACAAAGCAGCCATTTCCCCTGATGTTCCTCATGGCAGCCATTTCTTCGTCCTGCCACTAATTATAAAATAATATAATTATATTCTAGTTCTGATTTTTTTAAAGAATTCAAAAGCCCCAGTGGCCTATGGGACTGGGGAGTCGTTGTGGCCACTGCTGGTGGACTCGACTAGGGAAACTGTGGGGAAGCCTTGTTGTCACTGTGCCATATCTACAGCCACTCCAGCAGCAGGGAAAGAGTGATATACATTAAGGGCTGCCAGCCTCCAGGTGGGGCCTGGGGATCTCCCGCTTTTACCACTGATCCCCAGCCGACAGAGATCAGCTCCCCTGGAGAAAATGGCTGCTTTGAAGGGTGCACTGTATGGGCATTGTACTATGCGGCGGCCCCTCCCCTCCCCAAACCACACCCTCTCCTGGCTCCACCCCCAAAGTCTCCAGGTATTTTCCAACCCAGACTTGGCAACCCTTTATACATTGTGCCAGGGGAGCTTACAGAACAATGATTATTTTTAGCAAAATGAACCCAAATAGTTCAGAAACTGTCAAATTATGGTATTAGCTCCTAGAAAAGAGCAAGAGTCCAGTAGCATCTTAAAGATTAACAAAATATGTGGCATGGTATGAGCTTTCATGAGTCACTGCTCACTTCTTCAGATACTTCAGGTATTAGCTCTTCAGGTGTTAGCTCCTGGGAATCTAGGCCTTCATATCTCCAGGATATTCTTCAAGCAACTGGGCCAAAATTGCTTCCTCACTCTAAACTGGCAGGCAGCTGTTTTTCATAAGTCCCCTTCTCCTAAACCCAGCATATTCTCTCTTTGTCCCTGTGCCAAGGAGAGGAAATGCCAGAGCCTTGTGAAGGTGGCAGCTTTTGACCCAGAGTGTCTACTCTGGATGTTGCATCAGACATTTACCTTCCAGTATGACCTGAAGATTCAAATAAATGTATATTTCTCCTGTAGCCTCGTGCTATTCCTATCATAACTCTGCCTTCTGGCCTAAGGGACCAGAACTGCTAGCAATGTACATTTGGATGTTAATTAATCAAACCCAGACTTGAATAGATGCTGTTTTTCTAACATCACAGTTGTAATCTTAATTTGAAAATTAATGATAGTGATATCAGAAGGCATCAAATTTACCCATTATTGTGGCACCTGGCTGTCTGGCTGCAGGTTCAGAATGGTCAGAAGAAGGGAGGGATGTGAAGAGAGAGTGACTTGGCGGGTATGGAAGGTGTAAGGATATTTATCCTACATTGTGTGTTATTTTCTATCGCTCTGGGGCTTGAAATGTTTTTCATCCTGTCAAATTCATTCCCAGTATCAGAACCAGGTTGGGCGACAAATATTTCAAGTACTGGAATCCAGTGTGTGTGTGTGGGGGGTAGCTCTTTTTGCCTGTATGTTGAGTTGTTCCCACTGCAGATGGGATAATACAACAATCCTCTGTTATTGTGCATTATTTGTTTCTCTCTACCTTTTTTATTGGTTGTCAAATGTCTGACTCTTACCCCTAAGAAAGTGGCAATTTTAATTGCCCCTTTCTCTTACTCTCTCCTCAATATGACATCAAGGATTTTCTGAGTGATGAGGCAGTCCCCGAGAATTTAGTTCCATTGGGGAAGAAAACAGATGGGTTGCAGACAGAAGCATGTTCTATCAATGGAAACGAATGAAAGAAGAAACCAAACATTTCTAACAACTGAAATTAAAAAGAAGCAAATATTTTAGGTTTTTGTGTACATTCCAAATTGCTGCATTTTATTTTATTTAATATATACTCTGCTCTCCTCCCTCTGTGGGGACCCAGAGGGGCTTACATAATTCTCCTTTCACCCATTTTATCTTCTCAACACCCCGGTGAGGTAAAATAGGATCAGGGTGTGTGACTGGCCCAGGGTCACCCAGCAAGCTTGTCTGGCAGAGTGGGGATTCATAGAATCATAGAATGTTAGAGTTGGAAGGGACCTTGTCATCTAGTCCAACCCCCTGCACTGTGCTGGAGCATAGTCGAAAGATAGCCCTACAACATACCCGAAAGATGGTCATCCAGCCTCCGCCTGAAAATGTCCTGCAAAAGAGCATCCACCACCTCCTGAGGCAGTCTGTTCCACTGCTCAACCACTTACAGTTAGGAAGTTTCTCCTGATATTTAGCCGGTATTGACTCCCTTGTAATTTCCACCCATTAGATCTAGTCTTGCAATCCGGAGCAAGAGAGAATAGATCTGCTCTATCTTCTACATGATAGCCCTTCACATATTTGAAGACTGCAATCATGTCCCCTCTAAGCCTTCTCTTTCCCAGGCTAAACATTCCCAACTCTTTCAGCCTTTCCTCATAAGACTTGGATTCCAACCCTCTCACCATCCTGGTTGCCCTCTTCCGGACACGCTTGAGCTTGTCAACATCCTTCCTAAAATGCAGTGCCCAAAACTGGACACAGTACTTCAGGTGAGGCCTGACCATAGCAGAGCAGAGCAGAAGTACCACCTCCTGTGATCTGGACACAATGCTTCTGTTAATGCATCCTAAGATTGCATTAGCTTTCTTCGCAGTCACATCGCACAGCAGGCTCATGTTTAGTTTGTGATCAATCACAACACCTAGATCCCTTTCACATGTGCTGCTGTCAAGCCAAGTCCCTCCCATTCAAGCCTGCCTCTTCTAGATCCTAGCCCTTGCATTGCACAGTCCACTGCCCAAATCCTAAAGCACCTTTCATTTGTTATAGCTTTTTCCATTCAAGCACAGGTAAGGGGTACCTGTCTACCAGGCCAGCAATCCTCCTGATATATGTGGTTACCTTTTGTGTGAATAGGACAACATGCATATTTTAAGCCTCCTTGAGCTCTGTAGCAAGAAAGGCAGCTAATAAATATAAAATAAATAAATATTTTCCGGTTCAGATATTTATGATCAGAAGCTAGGGTTTCAAGCCCTAGGCCGTCAACTGGTAGAAGACTTGCTGTGGGGTGGTGGTGGTGGTGGTTGCCCATGATGTCACATCTTTGGCAATGTGCTGACATCATTTCTGGTGCATCCGGGAAGTGATGTCAATGTATCACTACTGACACTAGCATTTGGCCAAAACTCTGTGGTTTAACAATAGAATTTTAGGTGAATGCTACAGCATTGCCCAGTGCTATAATGTCACTTCTGGGTTGCCCAGGAAGTGATGTAATGCCATCAGGATGACACTGATTGATCCCATTCCCCTCCACCACCCAGCTGAGTGGTGGCAGGAAGGGGTGGGTGAGAGGTCTGCAGCCGAAAGTGCTTTGGTTGAGTTACTTTAGATGACTGCTTTGAATTATTCCTGCATACCTGAAAATATTCAAAATGAATATCAATAGCGAGTATCCGTGGGGGCCGGTTATTTCTGTAGAGGAAAATTGGAACCAGGATCATTGTGCACATTTAGTTTTATAGGTTGGATCTTGATTAACACACACAGAAAAGTTGAATCAGTGTGCTAGAAAAGGTGTGAAGGGAACAGTAAATTATACAGTACAGGTTTTTTTAAAAAATATTTGAAACAGATGTAGAGAATAGTTTTCAGAAATACCAAAAGCATACATCTGAGGGCATGTTTATCTGTTGCAAGAAAGTGAGTGGGTGAACACTGTATGCTGGTTGACACCATGTCTAGCAGGATTATCCTTTGAGAAGTTGATTCTAATTAATTTGTCTAAAACTATTATCCTGAGCGTATGTATTATGAGCTTAATTGGAACAATATTTCCTTATTTTGTGCCACAGGCCAGGATGGATGTACAGAGCTGTACTGTGATGTCAATGCTGAGTGCATTTTAAATGAAAATGGCGCCTCTTGTCTGTGTCGGACGGGGTTCACCAAGGAAGACAAATTGTGCTATGGTAAATGCCACCTGCCAGCTATCAGAAATGCCATGTTCAGAGCTCCCAGTGATATTTTAAACAATTTTCAGCTCCTCCTCAATCACAGGCAAAGTGTCAACCTAAGTGTATGGTGCACATGGTTTTCTCCTTCCCATTTTATCCTCACAATGACCTGTGAGGTAGGTTAGGCTAAGAGAGAATAGAAGAAGTAGAAGAAGAAGAAGAAGAGATTGGATTTATACCCCGCCCTTCACTTGGAGTCTCAGAGCGACTTGCAAACTCCTTTCCCTTCCCCTCCCCACAATAGACATCCTGTAAGGTAGGTGGGGCTGAGAGAACTCTTTCAAGAACTGATCTTTCAAGAACAGCTCTGAGAGAACTTTGGCTTGCCCAAGGTCATCCACCAGCTGCAAGTGGGAGGATTAGGGAATCAAACCGGTTCTCCCAGATTAGAGTCCACACACTTAACTACTACACCAAACGTGCTCTTTGTTCTTCTCTCTGTTCTGAGGCCAACAGGATTACCGTAATGTTTCCTCTAAGCTTCACAGTGTTGTGAGCAAAAATTTTCATGAGCAAAAAAGTGAGTAGCATTAGAGCAGGTCTATATTTGACTTTTGCATAAATTAGCTTTTTAGATTATTTCCATAACCTTGTAAAAATTTCAGAATGAATTCTTTTAAACTATGTTTAAACTATATCTTAAGAATAATTTAAACATTATAAGAGAAAACAGAATCAAGTCAAATTTCACTACAGAAAATGTCCTCTGTGGGGGTAGACCCAGGCCTCTAGAGAACAGGTCTACCCACCTCTTTCCCCTATACTGTTAGACCTGGCCTTCGGAGAACAGGTCTACCCACCTCTTTCCACTGTATTGGTAACTTGGCCTCCGGAGAACAGGTCTACCTACCTATTTCCCCTATATTGGTAGGCAATGGCCTCCGGAGAACACGTTACCCACCTCTTTCTACTATATTGGTGGACCTGGCCTCGGACTGTTGCCCTGCACTGAGTTTTAGAAAACATACCAGCACATGGTGGGGGGAGACTCTTGCAGTCTACTTTGGGGTTTTTTTTAGAGAAATATGACAAATTACAGGTCAAGTATAACAGAGGTGGAACAATTGCTGTCAGAACCATGCCTAACCTAACAAACAGAAAGTTCATAAATGTTATTAACCTTCCCAAACTATTTATTGAAATATTTATATCCCACTTTTCCTGTGACTCAAGGCAGCTTTTTTTTCTGGCTCCATTATAGCCTGTTGAGACCATTAGTCAGTGGGCCCCATCTTTCCTTATATATAATTGAGTAGTGGGATGGCACTTTCTGAATATTCCACATGCTCCTAAATCAGGTGGCTCCATGATGTGTCACTCAGAAGCTGTCCCTATTCACTGGCTGCGTTGCCTGAGTCCCACCCACAGAAGTGGCGCCCACCAAAAGTTTCCTCAGAAGATGGTTGCTTCACTCTGGTGAACACAGCTACTGTCTTTCGTCTCCTCACCAGACGATGATTGATTCCCTCTGGTCAAAACCCACTGTCTTTAGCCTCCAAGCCAAGTTTGCTGAGGCAACACTTTCCAGAACAGAAAAAAA